GGTGGCCCGCAAATCCACACCAAGGCGTCTTGCGTACCACGAGGTTTGGTGAATCTGCTTCAAATTTGCACAAAAACAGGAAGGAAAGAAAAGGAGGGTGGCGGTTTATGTTTAGCAACAACGACATCAACAGGAAGGAAGAAATGCACTACTCATCTATTCAAACGCTCTACCATCCATTTAACAGTCGTCTCGAGGCAGCCGGGCTAAGAACTCGCGCATATCGTACTCTGCAGCATACTCTTCCACTTCCGCATCGCCCCAGCTCAGTCCCTTTTCCGCACTACTTTCAGTGTTATTGTCTGTCAGCACCGATACACCTTCCCTTGTCATCGCTGCTGCCGCCATGTTATCAATCAGTTGACTGGTATCCATCTCTCCCAGCGCCTGATTGTCGGGTTGGGAAATGAGGGTGCGTGCTACATGACGCTTGAACGTCTGCAGACTCATAATTCGCTCCTCGATGCTGCCTGCAGTGAGAAGGCGGAAGACGGAAACCACACGTCGCTGACCGATGCGGTGTGCTCGATCCATGGCCTGAAGGTCACGGCAGGGATTCCAGTCGTGTTCTACAAAAATTACCGTGTCTGCGCCCGTCAGATTCAGGCCAAGGCCACCGACTGCGGTGGTAAGGAGGAGGGCGTCAATAGAAGGATCGGCATTGAAACGAGTGACCAAGGCCTCACGAGCACTTAGCGAGACACTACCGTCCAGACGTAGATGCACGAGGCCCTTGAATTCCGTACTGAGGGTAAAGAATGATAAGAATTGAAAGTACCTTCCATCCATTTAACCCTGTTAATCCTCGTGAAACCAAATCGGAGCTATCAATAAAACTAACATCATCCAACTATTCCTCTCAATTTCATCTAATCCATTAACCACTGGTCTCCGTACTCGACCAGCCAACTACTCAAGTCCTAACTAAACCAAATAACCAACTGTGCTGTAAAAATTAATCCCCTCAGACCAGCAGCTCAGCCGACCACCCACCAGACCTATTTATACACCTGGCGATCCTAGAGCTTTGCGTCCACAATGAATTCGTCCGGTCACAGCTGAAACCAGTCGTCCCAAATCAGCTTATCTATCCAGCTTACCATACACTGCAATTTTTGGCTGCTAAAATGCCAAAACAAAAGAAATTAAGCTTTGCTTACTCTAGTAGACGTGCGACAAGGCTGAGCATCTTCTTAGTCTGGAAGAAAATGAGGGCACGATGTTGCCTCAGGAGATCGCTCTGTTCCTCAACCTCCGCAACCGACAGCGCATCCTCAGCTAAACAACTACCTCCTCCGATGCCATCTCCTCCACTGTTGTTACCGATGCTTCGAGAGTCGCCAAAACCGCAGTCTATCAGGAGTTGCCTGAAAGTCGAGTGCAAGGGAAAATGGAAAGGGCAGTCACTTAACAGATGTTAATTACCTTTAAAAATCTGTCAGATCGTTGAGTAATGCGGGTACACAGGAGACGAAAAGGGATTAGAGAGGGATTGGGAAAAGGAAATAAACCTGCGGAACTACTTAAATTTCAAAAGTTTTGCATAAATTTTATGAATTCACGGACCAAATATTGCTGTAAATTCGAAAGTTCAAACATGCATCGCTCATCTAAGTGCAACAGAAGAACTACTCACCTTAGCGCCATCATCTTCCCTGAAAGGCGAAAGTCATCCAACCCACAGCTATTTTCTGAGCAGTGCTCCAACGCCCAGTCATAAAGAGGATGTTCGGGAGAAAGAACCAGACTAGGGTGGTTGCAAACCGCCAAAAGGTACTTTATGGATCGGAAACCCCCAGCGGTGCCCTTCAAGTCATGTACAGTGGAGGTGGAATCGTCCAGCGTCATGTTTATGGTTTCTTGTCCTTCAAGTGTTTTTGAGAAGGTTTCGTAGAGTTTTGACTGTTGGAAGAAGCAAAGAAAGGACAAATAAATCTTCTGTTGCCACCCATGAAGTAACGATTAGTACCTACTTAAAAAGGTGTCATTTAAAAGAGTAACACAGGAATCAGAGAAATCCAAAGGACTCCCGATCTAATAGGCACCTCTATAGAGAGATGCACTTCTCCTTTCAGATCTTCTTTTTCCACGACAAATATTTCCTATTAAAGAGGCCCAAAGATACTACTGAGATTGGCCGATAGTAATATAGGCTGCGTCAGACATTGAATTGTATAAATGACTTTGATGAAGAAAACAAGAATCAGTTTGATTAGAGCTGCGGGAAAAATCAAATATGAATCATTTAGCACTCATTTAGAATCAACATACCAATGAAATGGGCAAGAGTAAAAAAAAATGAGTGAAGCCAGGAAAAGAGGTCCAGAAAATGAAAGAAACACTTACAGATGTCTAGCCAAGAAAAAGTAAGGCTAGAAATGAAATGAAAGGAAGAAAAATTGGCATTTTTTAAATCTAACCTGGAGAGGGGTCATGGTGCAGAGGTAGTCTTGAATGACCTTGGGGGGGAGATCTTGCAGAACCTCCTCCTTAAGACGGCGCAAAACAAAAGGCATCACGATGCGATGCAGCTCCTCCAGCGCCTGCTGACCTACAATAAACCAACAAAATCGCCTGGAGATGGTAAAATTGCATGTGTATAAGCAATTGCCAAAACACAGGATCGGGATAATGCGGCAGAATCCTACTATTCTAACAACAGTGTAAAGGCATGCGAAGGTGAATGATGAGGAGAGCTCCCAAACAACCGCGTCACAATTGGATAATGACAAATTGTCAGGGGTTAGGCCACTGCCAATCCCTACGTACCTTCTCACTATCTTGCCTGCACCGTAGAGCTGCATACAAGAGTAAGGTACTTTTCTTAGATCGTCTGCAGACGCAGAAGCACTTTGTATCGACGTTTTAGGCACTATGCTGTGGTTTTACCGACTAGTGTCATCACAGTCCATTACCATCAGTTTTGCCACAAGGAGGACATCAATGCAATGCGAGTGTGGCTACTCGTCGTGCTGTGGGCTATGGATGGTGGTGATCTTTGCGAGTGAGCATTTTTTCGCTCTAAACTGATATCAAAGTTGGTCGAGCAGAAATATTTCCTTTCCTATTCATGCCCATCCCCCTTTCACAATGGTTGTGGGACTAAGACGGATGCACTATTGGTAATAAGTGGCTTGCTTGTCTTAATCCTCACCAATAAGGATGGTAGGACAATCAAACGTACTCCTCCACAATGTTAAGACTGGCAGTTCTCACCTGCCTGCTGCACCTGGGCACTGGCCTTTGGATCGCGCGTAGCAAGGAGAGGACGGCCGAAGCGAGCATTGAAAGCACCCTCCGAGGGAGCGAGGAAGCCGGGCATGAGGAAATCAAAGAGCGACCACAACTCACTCGCCCGATTCTGCACCGGCGTGCCCGTCAAAATGAGGCGGTGACGGGCACGCAACCTCTTCACCGCGCACGAAATCTTTTTGTGAAAGAGAAACAGTATCAACAGAAGCAGTAAGGGCGAGGGATAACAACTACTTTTCCAGTTAATAATTAATGAATACGAAAGCGCAAACCAAGTATGTATAAGCATTTCAAAGACCTTTAATTGTTCTATGATCATACATCTCCCGTAAGAAACTAGACGTGCTCAAACTATGACTCCAGTTAGTGCGAGTAGAGGATCAAGATAAATCAGGAAAGTCGATGCTTTTGCACTACGGAACTACATGTCGGAACTACAAACACAATTCATGGGAGCCGTAGAGGACTGCTTTCCAGCTTCCATCCCCATCAGTTAAAACGCTCCTTAAATCCATCCAATTAGTGTTTCGAAAAAAGAAACTTGTGCAGATCTTGCGATTCAACTCTACTCTCTCAACATGAGCCTATCGTAAAGAAGCTTAAGTAGAAAACACGAACAATTAAGAGAGGGACGAAGGTCTCATTTATTCCTTGAAAAGATGTGAAACGATTTCACTAGACAGTAAACATATCCACCTCCAAAACCCAAGAGGAATCGCCTAGTTCACGTTCTGATAAATGTACTAGATCACAGTGATGATCATTTATTAGGCCACACAATCGGCGAAAAAAAAACAATGTAGTACTACAAAACAATTTCTACCTGAAATCTGACGGCAATCTGACTGACAGCCCAATGCAAATGTTGACGATTTTGACGTCTTAGCAGAAACATAAACTAACCTTTGATTTGGCATTTTTGATGATATGACCCTCATCAAGTATCAAGTACTCCCAAAACGTTTTCCTATAGAGGGTAAAGAAGGGGAGGAAAGAAACAAATGCGAATGAACTTTTTCCAATAGGAGCCGAGAATTGTTACGTACTGAAAGAATGCAATATCGTTTCGGATCACTTCATATGTAGTGATCAGGAGGTTACAACCGTCTAAAATCCTCTTCTGAAGGCTGAAAAGCAAGAGAATAACAGTGCTGAAAGCACCTTACAATATTCTAAAGACTAGGCTACTAACACATTAATCATTGCCTAAATCAAAAAATAAATCATCTGCATGTTCCTACTAACCACTATCTGCTCAACTGCTTGTCCACTAGTGCATACATTTATCTAGTAAGCCACACATTCGCCCGTCACTACAATCGGCCATTGGTTCTATTATCCATCAATCCATCTAGCAACAGGCCAAATGGTCGCAAACCAAAAAAGCCATCAATAGACATCAAGAAGAAATCGCGCCAAACGCACGCTGCTCGCTGATCCGGATTACCAACATAGACGAGAGGTGCAAGTAGTCGGGAGTTAGGTACAAAGCGTGCCACTTCGGAGTGCCAGTGGGTGCAGAGAGTGGCTGGGCAGACCACCAACGAGATACCGCCTTCTCTATCTCTGCTGCTTGACTTGCGACAGACGTGGGAACAGTTACGGTTATTGCGGCCGTGATGGGAGACGAGAGCGCAGATAGTCTGCAAGGTCTTGCCCAGACCCAAGTCGTCTGCCAAGATACCGTTAAGACCGTACTGTTTGAGGAAGAGCAGCCAGTTTACGCCTTCCTATTAGTGAGCAAATTAACACAATTATCGGATTCTTAGGTCAACGCATGACCTCGCCCCCACTTAGGGCGTAGAAAACCACAAGATATGGTACCATGTAAAGGCATTAATAGTGGCCTTCACGATGAATCACGGTTCGAACTCCGCACCGACGGCACGGAGGGAACATATAACTGAAGACGTTACTTAGTTAAAAAGCGATCAATTTGGTGACGAAATTCCTCTGAAGCAACCGCTCATTGAGGGCCCACCACAAACATGCCTGCTGATAGGGTCGCAACTCTGCACGAACATTTTCGTCCGGAACGTAGAGGCGAATGTCCCTTGGACGCAGCAGACACTGAACGAAGTGGCGACCTTTCTCTCGCGCTCTCTGCAGGCTCAGAGGAAGGCCAGGATCGGTCAGTTCTGGGGCGGACTCCTTGAGAACGGAAAAAGAGCCTTTGCTAACAAGAGTGATGCCCGTGGCAGTGGTGCCCAAGATAAACTTCAGTATCTTCTAAGGCGTAGAAAAGACTAAGAGACAGGAGTGCTGATTTCGGGGAAATATAGTTTTCATATCAGGCAAAACGGTGTAAATTGCATTTTTAATCCTGATTATACTTTCAGCACTTAAAAAGACAACAGTGCTTCTGGATTAGGTAGATCCCATTATCACTATATTCTTTATCACTTCGATTAAAAAGCACCCCCAACGCTCATGCTTAAGGCCGAATAAATGCCAATTTTACCCTTTTAAATTTCCATAACAGCAAACGACTGGATAAAAGCCAACACCCAACAGAGCTATGCAGCTATCATCATCTTAACTACTAATTTTTAGCAACACAAAATAACAATTCATTGGAAAAACCCATGGGATGGGACAAAATGAAAGATTGGAACTTTCTCCAAGACTGCCAAGGATAGTCAGAAACCACTACTCACCTCGAAAGGCAGGAGGACAAGGAGTTTGGTAAAGACATTGGAAGCAAGGAGCCGTACATCGCTTCGTGTGTCAGCAAAGTGCGGTAGCACAAGAGATGTCACCATTATCACCACATAAGCTAAAAGGGACTGCAGTGGTGTTGGTGTCGATGCTGATCCTGAGACATCAGTGGGAGGACTGCCAACCTCCTTGAAAGTGACGCCATGGAGATGTGGTGAGAGAGGCTGGTTGCAGGGAACCAGCTGAAGGCCGAGGAAGACTTTATTTTCGGGTTGGGGAGTCAGAATGCAATCAATGATCTCTGGTGGTAGAGGTCAAGGAAAGATACGAAGCACATTTGACCATTTTTACTGCTGTCTTCGACATTTCAAACAGACAGGCGATCCATCAAAAAGGTATTCAGCTGTATCCACCTATTGAACATATTGGATGCACAACACCCACGTCCATATAAAAGATAAGACTGACCAGGCCGATGTCTTAAAAGTCCTGTTCAAGTGACTGAAACTATAAAAACTTGTCGATGCAGATAAGATTTGCCCGTCACCCGAAGCGAGGAATCGATGGGTAGCGGCGACTGAGCACTTTCTCATTCCACTTGGAACTTATTAAAACCTCACTAGCCAATTAGATGACAGATGAATCATAATGGACCGAAACACAAGAATAGTATCAAACCGAAGCACGAAATGACGACCTCATATGGATCGGCCGATTAACCCGGAACAGTTAAGGCAACTGATCTAGCGGATTGTCAGCAGAGCACGAAAACCCTTTGCGATATAGCAACCATTAGTGCCATATCAAACAACAGTCGACGGTCTTGAGAGGCTTTGTGCCGGGATTTGAAGATAGCTTCTTCTACTTTATTCGCTGTTTACGCAGAAGTGAAAAGAAAATACCATCCAAAAATAAAACGGAAAGTTCGTGAAGACGTATTTCAAGGAAAGACTACTAACCTTACAAGACCGTAGAAAAAAACGTGGTCAGCCATTCCTATCAGTCCGGGATTGTGGACCTGTGCAAAAGTAGGATACGTGAATATCCACCTCGAGTGTGATGCAGCACGCTGACTGAATGCTCTACTGCAGTGAGCATTTGAATGGTTTAAAGGTTTCGTTAGACTGCTATTGGCATGCCTTCGTTCAATGACGCTCCAAACTGGTGGTTTCCACCGCACAGATCATAAACCATTTGTGAATAATCATGCAAAAAACCAACAAAGCGCTCAATCAGCCATGTCGAAGGTGTCTTCAAGATGATAGACGAATGATAGAGATAGACGAATGCCTGCCGTGAAAACAGACGGAAATACAGATGTACTCAGCGCTCCTAAAGAAAAGAACTTCCAGTGACTGCCAAAAGTTGGATTCTACAACATCTTCTCCCCATTAGGCAACCAAAATGCCTTCCTCTTGCTCCACTATCTCCTGCAGGCGGATAGTAAACTCATCAGCAACGAAACCCCCTGAGGAAAGCAAATCGCAAAATAGGAACTAGACACTGCCACTCTATAGGGAAGTTCTCACCTACCATAGTCGAAGTAGCCATTGGAGATAAATAAAAGGATACGACAGACAGCCGCTAGAACAGCCACCCTATCACTATCTGATATGGTGTCGGCGGATATGACACAAAGGAGAAGCGAATTGAGGACTGTAACGGTGAGAGTGAAGTGGGAGGCGGCAATGACAGCAAGAGTATGCGCCGCGGTGAAGCGAAGACGTGGCGACAATAACGAATATGAAGACGATGTGGAGATGACACGAAGACAGCATATTGTCAGAGCGACCATACCCGTGATAATAAGCCTTGTTGTTATGGTGGTAGTATTGGTGGAATGTGACAATGCAACAAAGATAACCGCTGGTAGGAGATATAGGCACCGACAGAGCACCTCCATGACTAAAGCTGGGGTTTCATGACTACCTGAAGGAAATGCGGGACAGGTTAGTAACCGACTGCTGGGCAAGCAGTTTGATAGACTACTCTACGAAATGATATTTCTGGGGCAGATAGATTAACAATTGCGTGCTGGAAGAATAAGAAGGAGATAAATGAATAAATTGGGTTGATGAATGAAAGATCAAGAAGATGGATGGGTGCAAGCAAACAACGGCATAGAAACACATGTCTCAGTAAATAGATACGCAAAAGCCTAAGAATTCGAACAAACTTGGCTCGGATAGGGACAGCGCTTGTAGTCGATGCAGAAATTCAACATCCTCCCTAAATCCACCTTCGACGGAACTGTTGGCACTTCGACGTAGAATAACAAGGGGTTCGAGCCAAAGAAGCTGCCACAGTGTGGGAAGCCTTTGAGCCAGAACCTCCTCTAAAGTGGATTTTGTGAAGTCTACATCCGCAGTAAAGGTTTGCAGAAGAGCAACTAGTGTCATCAAACTGCCACAGCGGCGAAGTTGTGATATGGATTGCTTTGCAATTGCTGCAGCTACAGACCCAGTTGGACTTGCCTGCGAAGATATGGGTACAAATAGCCATTAGAATACGTTCATGTCGATTAACACGGTGTTTAACTAGAAAGGCAAACATACTATCGTAGAGCCAAAGCCACCACTACAAACACTAAGGTCTTCCTTTTCCCCATTTGTGGACATTTTTTCCTCCGCTTGTTTTATCAGCAGCGCCGTCAAGCATACATCCTCTCCTCCACGATCTCCCATTACCTTCACTACCAGAGCGTCTGAAAGAGGGGAAGTTGGGAAACATTTCAATTATACTGCAGCAGAACGAAAAATGTCAAATAGTTGGTATAGTCTCGGCTACATTTGAACACTCAATTCAGAGTTTAAGCTTCACTCTCAAGTCGCTTTTGTCATAAACGCTATGTCAGGGCAAATGTGTCATTTTGCCATAGGTGCAAATGATTTCGACTGGTCGAGTTAACTTGATAAACTGTGTTTGACACCACGTCGATGAAAGAGTATCCACTGTTACATGCAGAATGAGAAAGAAGCAAATGCTGTACCTGCTAAGAATAAAGTGCTTCGAAACAATAATTACAATCCATAGTTAACTGTAACAGTAACCGACTTCCATTCATGCCCTTTATTAAAGAATAATCAAATTAAATGAAATGGATGATCCTAGTGCTCGCAGGCACACAAGCACGAATAGCCATCTGGGTCGGTCATGACTTCAGTCCTGGCATACAAGGAAAGCATGGGCCACAAACACACGCCCATCACCCTTAATACCATCATTGTCTACGTTGAGAGGTGCACAGGATCCGCAAATAGCTGGAAGCTTTGTGAAAACGCATACAGCTACTCTATCGTTGCCATCATACCAACCTCTCACCAGTTTTGCACAAAAAAGGAGGCCACTGCTTTTCCTGGTGCTAATTTCTGAAGAAGCGAGGTTATTTGAAAACAGTTTTCGATATTGGGCAACAGTTGCACCTGACGCAGTTAAGAAATAACTGAATTTAGAAGCTCAGTTAAAAAAAAAACTAGTCAGATAGTGGACCCATGGAATCATTAACGCACCCCACTCAGCAAATTCATCTGGTAGTATGTATTTGGCCAAGTTCTGCGTCACTTTAGCCAAAGCCTTTGAAGTCGGGAACAATGGTGCAGATGATCTCGGACTGGATACTGTTTGACGAGACTCGCTCCAAAGGAGGCGAGCAAGATTCCATGCCGCAAGACGCTGAAGGCGGAGGTTTTCACTGGGTTGTGGTAGGTCAAAGTCATTCAGAGGTTGTCCAGCGGCGCTGCCAGTGGTTCCACGAATTGTGTCCATAAAAGGACGTATAAGGGGAGTCAGACGGCCAGGTGTGACCCAACCAAAGTTTACTATAGCTGAGGACAGAGAGAGTTCCACGCTGGAGCGGAAAGAAGACAAGAAATGAGCGATATGCGACCTAAAATTTGGTAGCGTCATTATCTTAAGGCTATAAAAAGGAGTCAGCAGTGAGAGACTGACATATGCCATTCCTAAAGCGAATAAACTAGAGCTATTATCCGCAACGAAGGTTAAAAAGACACTTCGCTGACTGATGCAACCGCCATTGCAATCGTTCACATAAATTCGCAACGAGATGCGTCTTTCAAAGCAGTCCTACCCCAGGAAGCAAACAACACACTCACGGAAGCCTCCAGTACCGCCTTGTAATTTAACCACTTCATTCCATTTCTCATACAAATGCCAAGTCATCTTATACCGGCATTATAAACTGATCGTCAAACAACTCTAAGAAAACGTCAACAGAGACATCAAAGCTGAAGAATAGAAAACAAAGTAGTTGTTGATTCAATGGGTGGGTAACATAATAGACGAGGTTTGAAAGACTATGTTCAAGATTGGGATGACTGAATAAAATAGGTTATTATTACTTGATGTGCCGATTGAGGAGCGGAAAAATAAAAATTAGGTGAATTACTGCATAATGAGTAGATAGACTAATGAATTGATGTATCAAGACCACAGAAGAGCTGAGAATCACCGCGAACTCCAGAAGAGCTGCAAAGAAAGGCATCGACTGACAGATAGTTGGGCTTTTTGTAATGCGCGTTGAAGCTCCTCAAGTGCCAATTCCGTTAGTTTAATCCCACTGGTTTCGGCAGAGGTGGAAGCAGGACCGTACGTAGCCAATTCAGCGTCAACGCGCTGCAAAAGTGTTTTGCACTCCACCAAGTTCATGACGCTTCCACCACTATAGAAGAAGAGAAAATGTTTGGTCTCCAGAGCCTTCGGTTCATGCCATCTCACCTATGCAACCTATCCCCTTTCATATGACAACAAAGTTGTTTCTTCAGCTACTTACGCAAAACAGCAAAATTTGTGCCAGATTATAGTTTGTTGAAATCATACTTTCTTTTATAAAAAAAACAACACAAAACAAACCCGATATGGTTCAAGTTCATCACCTTGATTACATTCTTGTTACGTAAAAAGATACTGCTTGAGCTAACGATTGCAACCTTCCCAAGTTTCCTAGCTTTAGGGGAAAAAAGCTACTGAGCCTTTCCAAGAATATTTCTCGGAACATTTTAGCCGATCCTTTCTATCCTATCAAGCAAGATCGGAAAGCCGATGGAGAATTTCCTAAGAAATTAATGGGAGCCATTAGGATGCGACTTGTTGTGCAGGATGTCAGACATTGGAATTCAATTTGGCAGTCTACATTTAGACGTAATGGAATTTCGGTCATGAAGAGCGTGATGATCTGAAGGCTATAGTGATCCTGTTAACTCTTCCGTCGCTTCTACTGATCTGATCCACCAGAATTGCTAATCCGCATAGAGTAGCATTGAGAGACAAACATGACAAACATGTTTGTAACACTCATTAACAGCGCCCGATAATAACAATATGATCATCTCGAATGGAGACTACATAAGGTGCTGTAATGAACCAATTTCTGTGAAGCTGCATGTGGCATACCGATGTTTGAGAAAGAAAAGGAAATGGCAACAGCATCAAGCCAGTGTTGCGTAAGACTATCAAGTATCAAAAACGAACTTTTAGTCGGTTACGACACTTCCCAGTGTAAACACGTGGTGGAGCGTTTGAATCTACTAAACTGAAAAACAGTGCTGCACGTCGGAGCTACAAAAACACGAAAAAAGGCACTCACGCCTTCGGAGGCTCCATATTAATTTGCAGTTTTGCGGCATCGCAGAGAACCCTCAGTCGGTGACAATCCTCGTGCATTGTCTTGAAAGCGCCTGGAAAAGAATGCTGAATGAGTGAGCCCATCCTGATACAGACATTTCAACATGCAAAAATAAACAATCCCTACTGTAAAGTAATAGTAGAACCACGTATTTCGCTGCCTTCAGGTCTGAAGACTTCAAGTAATGTGCGTTAGAGAACTCCTAATCTGACGTCTACAGAAAATAAGATTTACAATTAGAGAGGAAACTGTTGTCGACAGCTGAGTTGGAATGTCTAAAAGCGACTGAGAACGGATAGAAAACGGACGTAAAGTGGGACAGTAAAGAAAAACGCAAATGTCCAAACACAGGTTTGCTGGATAAAATTCGTGTTCCTCGAAGCTCACTCACTGATGGAAATACCAACAAGGGTGGTCAAATCCGATGTATAGGTAGATTGACCCTTGAAGCGATAATTGGCCGAAAGGAGAAGGTGAAACATAAAACTACACACAAGACAAGTAAAATTCGTTAGGCAATTTGGAAACAGCAACTTCTGAACAGGTTAACAAGAAGTCTAGCCAACATTCCAAGCCCAACTGTACAATCATGGTCCTTCGCGGTTGGGCTCTGCCAAATAAGTTGGGCATGCACTCAATTGTGAGAGTAATTCCAGTCAGACAAATAAACTATAAGCCTTCGAAGGGGAAAGGCGGAGATGAGCAAGTAAATGCATGGATAAAGAATGTCAAGAATGGCATAAACGAATAAATAAAAAGAGGCGTGGAAAAATAGGTGCTTGAGTGAGCGAAAAACTAAATGAACTAACGCTTCAAACGCATGAAAATGAAAAAAAGATAAAGAAACATGGATGAATGAGTGCATAAGTAAACAAAGGAACAGATGAATGGAGTGGGCATCGAATGAGTGGAAGAGTCGATGTACGAAGAAAAGAATACAGTTATAAACCAACAGAGGGATGGAAAATTCGAAGAATTCAGGAACAAAAAAATGGACTTTCCCGAGATGTTGATAGGTGGGCGGATTAATTGTAAAAGTGAAAAAGAAGCTCACCTAATATTTCCTCGTAGTAGACCACATTTGTTAGACAGCTGTTCAACCGACTCGGCAACTCGCTGTTAGCACTAGCATCAATAGTAGCAGCGGTGTTGAAGGTAGCTTCAGGAGGCCACGCAGCTAGCAGGAGACTGCCAATAAAGCGTTGCATGCCCAGACGGTCTCGCAAATGTGTACCGGCCACTACGTGTTCCAACAGGTAGGTGCTTATAGACATCTCCCTATCGGAGCTATAGCTGCTTCCGCTTCCATCAACTTCCATCGAGGTAAGCTCTGCCGTGCCAGCAGCAGGAGCCGCAACAATCGTAGAAAGATTACTCTCGCACAATCGACTGCTTAGACTCGCCAGTAGTCTAAACGGTTAAATACAAGTATATTGAGAGCATATCCAAAACCTCGTAGCCAAATAAAGCAGGTTCTTTAAAAGCAAGGCGAGGTACGTTCCACTGAGGAGAGGGACGATAATCAGGAAAATGGAGGTCTAGCTAAAATCTCCCCGTTTTCATCCACTTATGGACGGAAAGGCTTTCCGGATAAAGGACTAACAATCATGTGAATTCGAGAAAGACGTCTCAATAAGAAGGCCAGACATAGAACGGCAGCCCAATACATTGGAAAGGATGAAATCGAAGCCTTGGGAATGGATGAAACCCCTTGAATCTTCGATAGACTCGGAGCTTTGTACGGTACACTCAGTAGAAGTCTGAAAGATTATCGAGCATCAAAGACAGTCTGCTGGTTCCACAAACCTAGGGAATGTCAATCCAAACTCCAACACTTTTTCCTTTTTATTTATTACTGTAAACAATTTGGCAAAAAAGTGCTTTGATTGCCTCACATTAAGGAGATCACTAACACTTCTTTTGCCCAAAGGAAATGACCTCGAAGAAGAAATCATGACCTCTCATGCAAAAAAACACGTTGATAGCTTGGACCACTTTACCATCAGGAAGACAGCCCACCTTCTAAAAAGTAAGCATGCATTCCATGCTATGTGCGCATAAGAAATCAGTGGAATGGAATCCGTGACCAACCACTTTTCAAATAAAGCCATATCAGTCGCAAATGCAATATTGGCGACTAAAAGATTCAGGAAAGTAACTCACCAGAAACACCTTTCGATATTACTCATATCAACAAGTTATACCACCTCTAAGGGCTACTGAGTATGATTAAACAAATGGGTTTGTCAAGATTCCGTGGGTTATTTGATGTTTCGACCATTTAGCAATGGCAATTAATGTCATTCAAGCAGATATGAGTGTTGCTAGCCTTGGAAAAACAAATGCTGCAATTGTTTGAGCATGCAAGATCCACCAATGTCACAACGACCCCACTTTTAAAATCGTTTTATGAAAGGTTAATTCAAACAAGTTACTGTCGTTAAAAACACAAAATTGACAGTTTAGAGGAGGGCATGCTATGAAAGGTAAACCACTTACGCAGTGGCAGTGATTCGTGTCTCGAGGGCCAAACTTTGTCGTACACGTTCGCTAGTGGCGCCCAACTCATAGCCACCGATGTAGTAGGCCTGAGCTGTCTCCTTTATGCATTAACCGAAAGAAAAAACACGTAAATGAGCAATGAAATGAACAAACCGCCGCAACGGATGTAACTCCATCCCCTTCTTTCAATAGCTGCTTGCATTCACAGTTTATGAGGCAGACAACTGGAGCTTCTCCAAGTAAAGGTCAAATACAGCTCAATGCAAGACGACGACAGCTACGGCATCGATGCAAGTGACAAGTAAACGAAATGATGCAGAGTGACTCCTCTATTTAAAGCCGTCAAGCTACGTAGACTAGTAGCTGATAAAATTAGCAATAATTTTTTTCCCAAAAAAAGCATTAAAAACAGCATGTACTTCAATGAAAGGCTCTTACAGAATTCAGTTTAATGAAAAGTGTATCGAGCAGGCTTGCACAATGTTTAAAAGCATTTTTTTACGTAGAAGCAATAAAAGTAACGAAAGTGACTAGAGCTTCAAATCGACTAAGTATAGAAACGGTGAATTGAGTTCGATTAAATGGTGAGAATAGAGGATGCTATAAAAGAGGTCCACTTTTAACCGTAGAAAACACCCGAATCGGAACTTTTCCACAACAAATGACCCACGTGGTTGGTGGCAGAAGTTTGGATGCGCAGCATAGTGTCGGCGAAGGGCATGGATGTGGGTTGCATGGCCTGACATAGCCAAAAGTCCAAACGATTGAGAGTGGCTTGTGCCAGCAGCCCAACCGGCACCGTATTGACCAATCTGTGCCAAAGCTTAAGGTCGCAGAAGAGAGGTGCACAAGTGTGGTGTTAGTTGGCACAGAAGTTTTAAACAACAATCTTACTAGTAAACAAAAACGAGTTTCAGAGTCATTTACAAATCGCAACTATTGGCGATAAAACTGCATTGAATTAAAAACGAAATTGAAGAATCCAAAAGTGCGCTTCACAAAGACTGCTATCTCATTGCCTATCCCAGACTGACGCCATTGTGAGTTAAACTGAGAATAAAGAAGGAACCGAAGGCAGTGCAGAATAAATGCAAAAAAAGTACAGGAATAACGCCGAACGCCAGTAATGAAAGGCACACAGTGGATCACTGCAGGTTCGAAGGTAGGACAACAAAAGGACAGGTAAAATGGATGAATAGTACCGTAGCGCCACCCTTGGCATTTGTGCAACGAATTGCACCGAAAACATATTTTTGTACCCAATTTGTAGGAATTTTGTTAATGGTCCAACAAATAGACGGATCAGGGGCGAAAGGAATTTGCAATCAAAAGTGGCTGACATCATGAACTTAAGCTATCATCCGATAACTCCTTTCAATCGGTGGATTTTCTGTGCACTTAAGCTATGAGTAAAAAGGCCAAAAAGAGACTTTTGGAAGTGAACAACTTACATCGCTGATGGATCGAATGTTCTTGGGGTCAAGTTCGAAGAGGACACGATGGAAGAGCTGCTCGAACACACACTCCAGCAAAGGAGGTTCCATTTGATGGTGAATCTGAAGTCAGACGATGCCATAGTAACAGCTGTTTAGTTGAAAAATTGTAAATTATAACCTCTTATTCCCAGAAAAACCACTCAAGAAAATGAAGGTTGAAATAAGTAACCAACATTCCATCCTGTGTGAACCCGGAGAACTCAGTGACAATGAAGCCAATCACTCTCAATGCTGGATAAATGAGGAAGGACGCTCAAAACAACGATCAAATGATCCGCTGAGGATAGTAGGCGAAAATCCCACCTATTATGAAGGAAGAGCAAAACATCTCAAACTAGTGCTAATTTAGACTTTCAATGAGACACACAGTCCACAATGTTGATGGTCCATGTGATTAAGCTGTTTCAAAATGGATTACCAAGTAAAGCCATCGATTGCAGTGTACTTTTAAGCATTCAAGAATGAGCTACAAGGGGACAGTTTCATCAAAAGGTATCTTTTGTGGTAGGGCTCTCGTGTTGTTAGAGGAGAGAAATGGTCAAGATCAACAGTAAGTACTGGAATGAAGACGAACAAGAGAAAATCTTGCAGCAATTCAAAAAACACACCTTAGAAATACGCAGAAACAGCAAAGAATCGAGAGTCTGGATGGCAGTTTGACGAATATCGGAAGAGGAGTGGTGTAGGAAGCTGAGGATCAAAACTACACGTCTGGTAAATTCTTCCGCCGCCTCGGAGGTCTGCCCTATGTTTGCCCCCGCTGTAGCTGCATCTTTTCCTCCGAGTTCCTCCTCTAAAGGCCTAAAAAGGGTTTATATGTCCAAACTAAAATCAAATTAAAGCACTCAAAGTCAATGTTCAATCGCGCTTTTGGTCAATGATCTCAATCCCGTCTTCCTGCTTATAAATGCCAATTGGATTACCAAACCTAAAAGTATAAAATCCAGAGACTAAATAAATCCGTCACAATATCCCTCTGGTGGTTCTAGAGGAGGAAACAGAGCCACGACAGCACTATCCAATCTAACAAGCAGTCGTCAATATTTTGAGAAAAGGTTAGAAGTCACACAAAAACCCAATAAAATGAACAGATAGCAATTGTAACTTTATTGGCGGAACTTCACGCAACTGGAAACCTTGGAGGAAAGCGAACAAATTTTTCAGATCACAAAACCGCCAATTACACCAAAAGGATATCAGGAAAAAGAACTAAGCAACGGTCAGGGACAAAAAGAAGTTAGTAGTAAGCCTCAAACAGGCAATTGAAGCACTTAACAAAACAACGATGCCATCTGAAACCGGTCTCTAAACGATGTTTGGGGACGGTAAAAACGACCCACATGGTTTTGTGCATGCAAAACATCCCAACTGAATGGTAAAATCAAAAACCGAGATTTGGAAAGTCGACTCATTTGGTGGAGTTGAAGCCAAATTAATCCTGGAACCCATCAATTTTTGCGAAATCAACGACTCACGAGATCGAATGATCAATCAATCTCGAAGCAAGCGTTAAGAGGGGGCCTGTGACAGGAGACAGCTCCACAGACGCCCGTTCAAGCAGGTACCAAACACAATGCACCAAACGGTGGCCAACGGCATTACTATGACCGATAAGAAGATCACGAGGAATAGCGAGGAGAGCAATGCACGCGGCACATCGAAGATCCTCCTCGCCTGCCTCTGCCTCTACTCTTTCCTTTGTGACATCACTGCTGTTGGTATCACAATGTGGAAAGAGAACGTCCGTAAGAGGACCGTAGACTAAAGGCAGGAGGTCTGTTGCAAGATCCTACAAAGTAAGAAGGAGGATGTAACCAACTACGAATGATAGGAACAAACTCTCTTACCAAGATCACATACATTTCGAGCCGAAAGAAGGTAATTAAGGCCCAGCAATCCGCCGTGCACCACCATCCAATTGACTTTGGGCGTGTGGGATCGCTTCAGTGGTTCCTGATGCTGACGACGGAGGAGGGAGACAAGGCAGAGTAGGTGTTGTACTACTAGCCTCACCTGCCCTACGTCCAAGTGGAGACAGAGAACACCCAATAACTGTGCTGCCGTCTGACGAACAGGGGCTACAACCTAGGTGCAAATAATGGGAATAAAAGCGCTTGCCAACTTAGGGACAGCTCGGCAGTCGAAGGATATGGTCTGTGCACATTTCTGACGACACATAATCTTAGGTAAGATTTTCGGTTCGCGGTTGGTTTTTTAATCACAGAATGGTGACTACAGAGAGCGCCTGGGAGGATACATTTTAACTACGCAATTTCGGCGTCCCTTCGAGTTTACAACACACCAACAATTATGCACACATTCATTACAGATTTATCGACAATTAAGCATTTATTAACGTACTTATAAAATACTTGAATTATGAATTTGGTACTACGAAACGGAAACCTACGGTGTTTAGATTGGAACCAAATTCTCTGGAGCCAGATTCTCTGGTTGGGCAGGGCTTTTATTAACTACATAAAACTGCTCAAATGCATGGATTAGCCCTCTCGAAGTGAAAGACTGATGCACAGTGTTTCAGCTACACAAAAAAATACAACTTCAGTATAGTCGCAATCGCCAGGTTCCTGTTGTCCAATGGCCGAAGTTTTGGACTTACAATTCGCCCGAAGACAATTTCAATGTGGTTTTTTAAAAGATTATCTTTTGTGAACTTATACTAGCTAAGCTAATCCATGAAACAGTAAACGAATATTCACAAAGGACCTACACCATGGAGAGTCAAGCTATTTAGGCTTGAATGGCACCCCACCCCACAGATAACAAGTATTTCACATGCAGAAGCACATCAACTCAAAAGTGAGATTCACGTAAGAAAATGTGCACAGTACTGCAAAGATCCCTGTAGGATTGCCTGTGATCAACGTGACCATTTTTAAGACCTTCAGGTCTTTCCATTTCTTCAACCATTCGTCCCGGTCTGTGTTACCTACACCGAAGATTTCTTACGAATCCAGTGAGATCATTTAATCTGGAATCAGTGCCTCCATTGATCATTAAGCGGAACCTAACGAGGTGGTAGATATGGAGAGTCAACGTTATTTCTACAAGCCCTCTATCCAAACGATGTCTTTCTGACAATAGTAGCTAGCTGTGAATTGAGGTTTATTGAAGCGTACCAAGCATAGTAGTAAGTAACGACGTCCTCGTAGGGGACTGTTACTAAACACGAAGAGAGACAGGAATGCCGGTAGCGGAAACGGGAATGATAGTGTTATAACTTAAGTCACTGAATAAGGTCTTCAGATTCAGCTGCAGGCAAGAATAGTTGGCTTGACCTCGGTGCAGATTGAAAAGGACTTAAAAAGGCGAGAAAGAAAAACCCACCACATCGCAGGCGAAATCAGAAAACTGATCCAAAGCAAGAGTACAGAGAACTCGCACAGCTACATCTTCAAGGTAGACGCGATTAGCCTCCCGATTCTGAAATGCCAAAAAGTGATAGGCATGAAACAGGAGCCAATGTCATAGTCTTCTTTTTTTAAAGGAGTTTAAAATCCTTACGAATGGGAAGAGTGTTAAATCGGTTCAAGTCATCTATGCTGGGATTCAAACGGCCCCAACGACTTTTATTCCTTCCTTCCGCAATACCATGAGGAAATCCAGCAAAATCGAGAAGAAAGAGACCTGCCTTATCCATGGTGAGTCTTTATAAGTGTGCTCCTTATAAATGAGGTCCCAATCTCCAATCAAGAGTGACCCACCTCTCGGTTTATTCTCTTCTCCATTCACCCATCCTTTCCAACACTGAGCTTGCCACCTCGACTATACCTTAGTGCCTGTCCATTTATCCATTCGTTCGCCCTCTTCATACTTGCAATTAAAACAAATTACTCAACCCTGCTCTTTTATTATTAAGTGTTACTGGACCCCCCCATTCCTAAAGCGAGGAAAATCCAAACTCCCCTGCACTAAGCATCTTCAAACTGTTAAATAAATTTCATTTAGGAACAAAAACTGAGACTTGGGATCGAAACCACGAAAGTGTGCAACTTGTTGCAGAAGAATTAATAATGGAGAAAACGAACCTCTCTTTCAGAGGCGCCATTTCTGGCACCAGCTTGACGGGTGTGTTGAGGAAAGGCAAGTAGCTCACGGAGACCTGAAGCAGCTCCATGACGAGTCTCCCAACGGCAGTTCCACAGATCGGCCAGGAGACGTACGCACATGCTGTTCAATGGCCAGTCGGTCTGCGATGCTGCTGCTGCCGCCGCTGCGACCGATGCCGCCTCAGTACTACAAGCTATAACTCTGCAAAGAAAACAAAGACGGGGAAAATCGAGGGCTTTTATTGGTGGTGAATGTGCGCATAATTCAATCCAGCATATAAAACTGCGGACAAACACTTGAATACCTATAAGAGCGTGAAGCACTCAGAACCATCGACTGCATATGTGAGAAAACGACTATCGATAAAGAAGCCTTCAATGTCACATCTGAAAATTGTGGCTTTGGTAAGTAGCGAATGCCAAAGAAATATGCGTTTTTTACAAACATCTAATAAATAACCAGTTAATCTTTCGCATTTAATGAATGCAAAGAAATAAAAGTTGACAATGGAGACCACCAAGAGTGAGCAAGATAAAAAGTAGACCAAATAGGATAATTTATAAGTACCTTTGCGTGCAATTAACAAAAACAGCAGTGGCCATAATTAAATGGCCACTGAAAACCACAGTGTAGGTGGTTTAAAAGTACTCGTACCGATAGAATGTAGGCAGAAAACGCGACTTCGTTCCAGTTGAGCCAAAATAAAAACCAGAATCTCAATTACCTTCACAAAAACGTGGTAGCCTTCAAATACATTTAGTTTTGAGCCTACACATCTAAATGCCGTAGGACAGCAATTGCCACCCCGCAATTGCAGAAGAAGATGCATTTCCGTTGCGTGAGATAGTGGTGGCACCATTTATTATTCTCATTTACTCTAATTCATAGCTTTTGGTGCCTCCAGAGGATGAATATCTTTGCCTCCAGCCACCCAATACACACTTGCGGTGTACATATGGTTTTAAAAATTTCGAATAAAATTTTCTAACTGCTCACATTTTCTTTCGATTGATCAGCGTTTCAGTGTGATGCCACTTTGCCCATGCATTAATCCTGCGAATATACTCATGCGAGACTTTGGGAAAGACAAACATCATACGCATCAATCTGGAGCACGCCCCCTGCATCCTCCCTATGCGTGACTTCCAGGACAGGGAAATCCTCAAATGCAGCAGAGAGAATCCACACGAATCATCTACCTCGTTACGCACTACTTACCTTGACCCGTTTTATCCCTTAGGAAAGAAGGGAGATTAGGCTTGGTAATATAATGCATTTCTTCGCTCTCCATACTTAGCCTTCCGCCGTACGTTAAAAAAGGCGACTAGTTTAAATAAGATTGAGATGAATGAAAGAGCTTGACCCCTAATATGAACTTCAATTGGCCTCCCAACTGAGATGACACGGTGGTCTCCAGCTGAATTGAGTAGAATGACCCAAATTTACGTGCCATTGTCATCGCGAATAACAGGTACCTTTTGAAGCTGGCAAAATCTAACCCTTACATTTCATCCTCAAATAAGCTCGTGAGTTCGTTGTTCCTCTTTTCAAAGAGGTTCAACTCAGAGCCTAATTTTTCAACCGAACTGGTTTATAGTATCTCTCCTGCGAGCAGCACACATATTGTATAGTGTGAAGTTTCTTCTTAGCCTCGAAACGCCCATTTGGAGGTAGATTAGGAAGTAAATGACGAACCAAACCGCAATGATTCGGCCCTTTTAACTAATTTCGACAAAATTTGAAGTGGAATTCAAATGAGATGAAGTCAAGTATTACAACGCTTAGAAGCCTCCATTCAAACTACCAAATGCAAGAATTTGGTGCAACATCTGAAGCGGAAACAGAGGGCCAAAGACAATGATGACACTTACGAAGTGTTTCAAATGCAACTTCCTCATTCATTAATGAGAATTGTTTGAACTTTCCGCATCCGAGTGTAATTGCAAAGATATGTAAACCGGTTGACAAGAGTGGAAATCAACACGCCTACCTCCAACACCCGTAAAAACAGATTCCCCGACTTCATAAAACCCTATTTTTACCTCAATGCTTCCAGTGCCTCTACTATTCGAATATTTTGAATGATTACTTGACTCAATGCCGTCGCCATCTTCCTCTTCCGCTACAACTTCGAGAATGCATTCTTTCCTACAATTTGACCTTGTGCTTCCACTTCGTATGGCACCTTGTGCCGTTTGGTAGACACAACACCACGAGTCACAATTTCAAATGGCGGCCATTGACCGTCTTCTAGTCGTGGCATCTAGCGCCATATCAAGCAGATAAAATTCAGGCCTAAAATGGCCAGCCTCTACCAAGTTAAAGCTCTACAAGTGAACAACCCCACCCCATTGTCCTACGTACTTGCGCGTAAAGCAATCCAAAGGAAGTAGTGACCCGTGGTCAACAGTATAACAGTAAGCGAATATTTTGGAAATAGTTAATAATGACTTCGTTCTTTCACTCTAAAAGGTTTACACCGAAGTACAAAGAGCAGGACGTGTCACAAGTCAGTCAATGTGTTAGCGAACAATTTGAAATGCAAGTCATCGTGACAAGGTAAACTAGACATCCCATAAAGCTACCTTAAAATCCGCTGCAAATGGAATAAATGAACCTCCCATATGCTCTTAACGTATCATAAAAGCACCAGAAACAAACTAAATGCTATCGAAATTCGTCCAATCCGCAGATTTCCCTCAAATGACACCATATACGAACGACTAAATTTGATGCACAGAAATGAGGGCAGATGGATAAAGAGAAGTTGACTTACTTTGAGTGTTTGGTATTTTTATAGGCCCGCTTGACACTTTCCTGAAACAAGAGAAAAATAAGTATACAACTGCAAATACTGGAATCAAAACGTTGACCTCATAGGGTCAAGAGATGTGCACACAAATGGATGTGCAATTCTATATCGAACACCCTTATCATAGCAGTTGCAGAACGGTGAGACTAACGATAAGCAAACGGCAGTATAGGATACAGAATGGTGCACGAATGGTGTACCAGGAAGTATTTCACAACATAAAGTGGAATGAATCCGAGTCGCCTAGAGCTTCCAAGCCCCACCCACTTCATCTGGGGTTAAGCAACAACACTACCTTCCGACTACACATGCCTTGTGTTACCAGGCTGTAGTCCAAGTGGTAGAACTAAAATGTACCATCTCCTGTGGAAGTTACTAACGCCACAATCTATTGTCTGACACAGGCTTGCCGTCCATTTCACTTCTACAAATGTCCTATGACTCCAGAAATCAAAAAAACCATCCTGGATCCTCCTTTTCATAGTTACAGCTCTCAGGGTGACTCACTAGCTCTAACAAAGGAAGATGATGAATGATTGGTATTTGGAATTATCTCAGACTGTGGAAGACGAAGTTGTGAAATACCTTTCTTTCTCCCCTCCCTCCCTCCAATGCGAAGCAGCAGTGTCTCTTCTTCGGTTCGTCAGCCCACATAGAATCCCACATTATGTTTCGAGACTGGGAAGGGAACTAACTGACCACTACTGATTCCATTCGTTTTCAAAAACCATTTCATACACAGAAAACACAAAATAATAAATAAATAAATGACTACTACGGAGGATGAAAGATGCATCTTTGATATCATGCAACAATCGTAAAATTCCTTCACAACTAGTATACTGTTCACTGCAAGTCCTAAAGCCTTCGAAATAGAATGCAAATTCAGTCCGTGAGACAGGAAGACTCAAGTCATATGCATTGGATTTAGTCTACATTTCACGATATGAGGGAGAGCTAAGACCAGGAGGGAAGTGGTGTCAAGGCGGGGGAAAAGCACGCCACCGAAAGGCTGACGCACTTCCACTTGCAGGTCATAATGCATACATAAAATTGCATAAGCTTTAGGCATTACGATAAATCGCTGATGCGAGCTGTTTAAAACTGTACGAGCCCTTCACCATCTGTTAGTCAATAGTTTGGAAAGAACTAATTGAGCATCTCTAGGCACCCACTTTGTTTAGAAATAAAATTATTGAAGAGCCGACAAAATGAGAAGTTAAAGAAAGTGGTAAAAAAGAGCACACAAAAGTAAAGCAACATCTATTAATGTACACTTTTTGCAGCTTAGTGTGAATTCCAACCTTAACGACGACGATAAATGTAGTGGTGCAGAGTCCTTCCAAGAGAATGCTAGGTGAAGAAAGATGGCCAGTTTTCCTAGCCAAAAAAGTAGGGTTTGAGAACCCCACCCAATGAAAAGGGCCACTACAGATAAAACAAGGGACACTGCAGACCATCTTCATGCCTATTTCACGCCCAAATGCGTGAGTTGTTGTTGCCTTCATTGATTCGATCAGCTCCGTCGTAGCAGAGTTCGACTAAATTTCGCCCAATCCTACTGTTCGCGCACATTCAAGTTCCGTCTCAGAACCGTGTAGCTCATAATACCTTTCGGAGTTGATTAAGGCAATGCCATAACCCATTTTGCCCTCTCCAAACGACGTCACGCAAATTTACTAGAATAATAAAACTGTGGTGCTACAAAACAGAGTTGAATTTCATCATTGAATTGAGAGTGGATCTATCTCCAAACTAGTATATAGCATAACACTTTCAGGAATAATATGAACGTTGCGAACACGTTTCCACCGAAGTAATTTAAATTTACTCCGGTCGGCCTTTCAAGGACCTGCTAAAAGTAAAGGTGCCTCAACATGGCAAAATTCTCTTATTCCATCCACACACGAGAGCAATACAAGAAGACCCTTCACGGTTTCAGTGACCCTAGCACCAAACTGTAGGAATGATGGGATAGCCAACAACCAAAATCGTTGGATGGGTAGTAGTTCCAAGTGACTTCTCATCAACCTACCATGACATTGGTGGATGTGGCTGCAACATCATTCCCTTCACTATCACCACTGGTTGTGTCATCGCTATCTGCTAAATCTGCCTCCGAGATGAGACTAGAAATTGAAGTAGCAGGATTGGATTCCAGGAGATTACAAATGAAGGCTCCAGCCTGGCCTTCCAAACCCAGTTGACGATTCATCTCTCGCCTGTCCAAAAAGACGTCAACATCAGCCACCGATGACGAAGCATCTTCTTCGACTGAAATGAAGAAACAACAAGAGTTGTCCTATTATGGGGGCTGCCAATCTGTGAAGTGCAAAAACAGCCCAACAGAGGGAGCTCTTAGCTGTAGACCAAGAATGTTGAAGTCACCTGCATACTTCCTCCGATGGCGGTTTGTTAAAACTACAAAAAGGTGCACAAAGAAATGTTTTTGTGGTAAGTGCGACACAATACATACCAATGGAAAGTTAAAAGCTGGAGAAGTTTGCACCAACACACTAATGTGAGCGTAAAAATAGTTTATCATGACCGTCCACCTCTCATTTTACTAACTTATATTCTAAACCACTTTGTAATTAAAAAATTACGTGCTGTCGTTTCTTCATCACATTCTCAGATGGATGTAGTGATGGACTTGTACCAAGTCCAGTCGAATAACTGAGACGTGAAGCCGACAACTTGGAGACATTAGTTTTGATAACGGAAAATCAAATATTCACCTACAACGCAACCAGTGCAAAATATGAGGCCTCTTCTGACTAGGCAGTTAGAACATTTCCAGAAAACAATTGTTCGGAAGGAGAAATAACTTCTAAACGGAATGCGTTTGAGTGTACTGTGAGATTTGCCCACTCATATGTACACCTTGAATGAATAGATAAGAAGCAACAATCGCCCAACCTGTCGTAGCAGGATACTTATTAATGAAGGTGTGGGAACGGATTGAGTATTGCAATCAGTGACTAGAGAGTGAAAACAGTACCACGTTTATTTAATAGATAGCACTGAGAACATTATTGTCAATTGGTTCGCCCATTTACTTTACTTTTAACGTTGTCATACGCATGCATACACCCAGTTGTTTCCATCTTGTTAAGAACCAGTCGAATTGTTGGATAATCACACAACTCCCGTTACCGCGATTACGTAGCCAGCCATCTGTCACGTCTTTTCAACGACAAAACAATCCATCTTTAACTATTTTTCTACTCACATTGCGTTCCTATTCAGTTCATCGCTAACTGGGTAAAAATAAATGCATCAGACCAATTGCTAACTGCATCACTAAAATACATTTGGAAAGAATGAAGAAAACTCACTCCTCTCGTCCATATAACTGCTAGTTCTCTTAGCGCGTTTCGAGGGACATGGTTTTTCCTTGGCGAATTCGCGTAGATCTGCGCTGTACAGTCGAGCACCATTTTCCAGAACCAGATCCAAATTGAGACCGGCAAGGGAAAGAAACGATGTTGTGGTCGATTCTGCCTCCTTCTTCCCTTCAACATCCTCCACATCTTTCGCCTCCCTCACACTAACTGCTTTTTCAGTAGGCAGCCAAGGTGGCAGGTGAGCAATCATCGAACGGACCGCCTCCGCTGCAGCAATCCGCGTTCTCCAACTTCTGTTGTGCAGTAGGCTGCGCAACTTGAATAAACCAATGAAGAGAAGATAAGCCAAGGTCGATGGAGAAAATAGAGACAGTACTGCAATAGCATAACGTTTGGATCCTACTTGTGCGCCTTACTCAGTCCATGAGTTAAAAATATCCATAAGTGAAGACAGAAGGAGACGAAATGACTTTTGGGCAAGGGTGCTAAACAGATGAGCTCCATAAATCCAACCCACCTATTCGAAGATGCGTGACTGGTTAACCTTAACGCTGATTTACAAAGAGTTGAGAGCTCTCCTGTCGTCACACGATTCGGTTGCTACTGTTTCATTAATGTCGTTGAGATGGGTATTACAGATGTACCAACCACATAGGTTCTACTTTGTGCAGCGCTAAGTAGGGTTTTTCAATTACATGAAAACGTAGATTTAGCTTCTATTTGCAACGTCGAAGTGGAGTCACATCGGAGAGAGAAGGGCGGTCTTTAAATTCCACCAAGTGGATTCCTTTAAAATAAATTAACGGAGAAAAAAAATGAATGACATAGCTTAATATTCCGTGAAGGCGGAGCGCGAGGCTGTATTTAGGCAAGATTCTACTGGAATCAAGTATTTTCATGAACCAGGAATGATGTTCGCAATGCAACAGACCACCTAGACGCAAAGGACGAGCAAGGAGAAAAAACGGACCAAGAGGAAGGAAGAAGGAAGCAGCGTCGAATAAAGGAGCCAACAGGGGGCCGGAGTGACCATCTCTTGACGCTCTCCACGTGAATTTAAGAGACATGACTGGTTTCACCAATGTCAGTTCGGCTTGAACGGTTACGCCGTCGTCTGAAGTAACTCCGCATTAATAAAACTCCATTCAATGGAAGACTTATCATCCCAAATTCAGTATAGCCTTCAGTTCAACAATCCGATCATCACAAATGAACAAGTAGTACCTTCCAGCAGCGTAATGCAAAAACGATGCTCCAATTCGTTTACCTTCCAACGGCCAATATGTAGACAGTTAGATAATTTAAAGCTCCTCTTGGGCGGCACCGAGTTTTAAGCCCACAATAAATCAGACATCCAATGGGTGAGTGTTTACGAGTAATCTGTGAGCAGTTTCCGTTGCTGAATAAGCTGTAAAGGTCTTCATATCTACTTTAATGAGTACATATTTCACACTGAAATGAAGGAGTGTCAATCATTAGAATGAATTCGCCGTTTCACATCAATTGAATTGCTAATTTGCAATCCCTTCTTTGTTACTCCCCTAAATGGTTTCAATAACCCAATTCAAGCATGAAGTGGCAATCAATCTAATCGTAAGGACAGTGTCCCAAGTAATCCACTTCTGCATGCATTATTGCGCCACATTTTAATAATCTGCCTCAGACGAAAGAAAAAACCAACCCCATATAAGAGTAGATTTCACGTACAATTGAGCTCGCAGTTCACCCGGCTGCACTTTGATCAGGAGACTAGACACATCATATGGTCAAAAGCGCCAATGAGTAATCCAGAGGGGCTTAAAAATTACATGTAGTCGTTTACGACAATGATTTACGAAGGGCAAGTAGATAATATGGTACCCACTATTGATCTCCACCCCAATTCTTAAATTTTACATGAAATAGGGACCAAATTAGGTTTAATTTCACCTCCTTACCCCCAATATGTGCAGCTAAAAGAAGTCACGACTCGTCACAAATGCGCACGAGAACAAGAAGAAGAGGTGACTTGACAATGACCAGTTTTGATCATCACCGTCTCGTTTGTACCATTGTCCCCAAAACACCAGTGGGTCATCAAGGCGTTCAACAATACGATGACTCAATACAATAGAGGAACAAGTAGCATGCAAGGAAAGCTGCCACCATCCGGTCCACGGTCCAAGACAAAGGAATACGTTTGACATTGCAAAAAAAGCCTCAAGATTCGTAGATAAACAAAGCTCCTAATGCTATCTCCAATAAATAAAAAATGAAGACTTCCCAGAACTCCTTTTCTTAAGAATTAAAGTTTCAGCTCACGGAATCAAACGCACTGAAAATAGTGAGAATAACTTACGAATTCAAAGCAGTCGAATAATTAGAAAACAAAAAAAAAGAAGATACCACTAAATCGCCAAAGCCACACCATCACCAATATCCTCCAGTCCGCCTTATAGCAGGAAGGCTCCCCACAGCACGCAACCCGAGTCACGAAGTGCACCATAGAAGCATCCTCCACCGCCACCACTTGGCCTTCATTAACATTATCCCAACCTTTGCTTGTGTCTCGCCGCATTCCCTCAAACGCTGCATGTCTTCCTCCACCACCAACACTACCACCACCGTCACAACACATTCCCTCGTTTACCCTCATACACCTACAAGACATCAAACCTACAACGCAGCCACAATCAAGACATCCACCCACCTTACACACCACACGGCAACAAGGCGACACACTCACCACACACCAGACCTACTTCAC